TTTGCCTAAGTGATCCCTAACCCAATCCTTCTCAAGTTACACAGAACAACTGGGTATTACTGTCTCCAAAGTACTTAAGTCATCCCCAAAGGGTTTTGTCTTACCGTGAGGGAGCAGCAAGGGCTGGATGCTCCCTCAGGGAACAGAGCTGGGAGCACAGAAGAGCAGAGGCCTCTCCAGTTAGGGCGCCATCCTGCAGCCGCCAGGGCAGGGAGCATGGCACGCTTGAAAGCGGCAGCTGGGACAGCCTAGAGTCCCAACTGACCAGCAGATCTGCAGTGATCTGCAGTCCAAGGTCAGGCTAGGAAAGCACACCAAGAAGTCTGGGTCAGGTCCAGGGACGTTGACCAGGGTCAGACAGGCCACTGACAGCCAGGCAGGTCCATAGTGACGAGGTACAAATCTGCTGAAGCTGACAAGTCAAATCCACTAGCCAGGGTCAGAGCCAGATCAACAGATACACAGGCAGACATGGTTGCAGATCAGCTGCAATGTAGTTCAGGCAAGGGCCAAGTGTGAGAGCCTTAGCTTAAAAACAGTTCCAGAGGGAGGAAAGGGAAGGTCCTTGCTGTGGCTTTTTATTCACAAGAGCTCATATCAGCTGGCCTAACTGTTATGAAGAATCAGCGCTGAGGGGCCTGATACAGCCTTTGCTAGACCTGTAGCAATTTGCTTACTACAAGACTATTTTTCAGCAGCCTATAAGGTCATTTGTATATAAATCTTATTTCTTGTATTTATTTAATTCCATAGTATTGTAGTGTTTCTATTCTCTTGGGAGATAGTGRTGTAAGATAAAATCTAATTCCTGGGAAATCATACTGTTTTTCCCCGTCGGCCRGATTTAGGTATTAGCTAGTACTGTGTACACTCTCCCATGTCCTTACTTGTCAAGGGGCCCTCCTAAAACTACATGTCATTACAGTGCTCCTGTTTCTACATCTCCTTCCTGCTAGTTCCTCTACTAGCAGATGGCAACTAGTAGATGGCTCCATCTGGATATCCTCCGTTATGTTCCACCACTCCACTTCAGACTCTACACTCTCAACTTCTGTCCCCATCTCCTAGGTCTCTTCCCCGTGTTGTATTAAAATGCAGCTCCTGGTGCTTCATAGATGGTGCTAAACATACAACAGACTGGGTCATGAGCCTCTGCCTTGCACACAAACAAGCTAATGTATGTTAGYTGTTGCACAGTGATTGCCTGTGGTGTGCACTTAAGGTTACTTACTCTTCTAGGACTACAAAAAAAAAAAATCAGATGTTTTTCATAAGCCTTTTTTTTTTCCCCAAATTATCCAAAGTATTTAAAATACAGTGTTACTTTGAACACAAAATTTCCCGTATTACTTTACATTAAAAGCTATTAGTCATCTGGAAAGATGCAGAAGAGAATCACATAACTGTCTCAGTAACTGAGCTTTTTCTGCCCTTTGGTCATAATGTTGCCTCTGTTCTCACTTAGCTGTTTTCCCTCATTTCTATGAGGTGACCTGAGAAAATACGCACTTTTAATTTTCTGTGTCTTTTAGGGAAAATTGTTTAATCATTTCACTAGAATGTATTGTCAGAGATGTTTGCAGAGTTAAACACTATTAAATTAAATTAATTAACTAAAACAAAAAAGCAGTATAGCATTAGCATAAAGCAGAAATTCATAAAGCAGAATTCAAAAAACCCC